TGCTATTTTTTTGAGAAGGACCTGTATAGTTATATGTAGTCATGAGTTGAATTAGACTCTAAACAAAGTCCTGTTTTGCCATGAAAATTAAATTTCATCTCCAAAAACTTATTTCTGCTGCATTTCAGCCATAAAAGGACATCATTATGGTGACATAATTTTAGTGATCCTTACTATTGCAGTTGAAAGTGTTGATGAGGACGATACTGGAAATCGCTCCATGATTGCTCTTCTTCTGTTAACCATGACTATCTGCACAGAAACACATGCACAGATCTGCACTTTGCACCAAGTCTCCATAGACTCCAGGATGTCACTGCTCATAAGGTTGCACCTAAATCAGATCATCAATCCGAAGAGTGGTTCACTATTGTTAAAAAAAAAAAGCTAGTGTCCAAGAAAGTCCAGCAAACGTCTCTTGTTGATTTGAGTGCTGGGCACCAACAGAGCCATGTGCTCGTGAGGTGAACATGGCCTTTAATCATAAAGAGCAACATAGAAGCCACTTCTTTAAAAGAATAAAACCATTAACCCCTCTTCCTTTTGAGGCTACAGGTACCTTTTGATTGAACTGCAGTCTGTGCACAATAATTTGTTGCCCACCATAATTACCTCAGCTCATGGTGATGTAATCTGCTGTATTTAGAAATGAAGACAAGTCGATGTGCTCCTATGATGGCATGAAGACACCTGGGATTACTTTGTGACTTTTGTGAGAGAGAAGTTCTTGCACTTTAAAGAATAACGTTTAAAACTGAAGTCACAAGTTGAGAACCCTACAGAAGTTGTGGAGGTTCCCTCAAGAACGTCATGAGATGCCACCTGAAGGAAAAGTGATTGACAGCATGCCTGAAATGGCAGAGGTCCTGAAAAAGTGTTAAAACTCAAATATTGGCTCTTTGCATACATTAAAGGGAATTAATAAAAACTTGACACTTCTGACTAAAATGGGGTGGCTGTGGCTGAGTGGTTAGAGTAGTCGTTCTCCAATGTGAGAGTTGGGGGTTCGAATCCACCAGCAGTCACATGCTGAAGTGTCCCTGGGCAAGACACTGAACCCCTCGTTGCCTCTGATGTGTGTCCATCAATGTATGAATGTGATAAAGCTCTGATTAGTCTCTTTAGAATGATTTGTTCCATTATCTTTGTAGAGATCTAGTATAGAGCTGTATGAATGGGTCAGTGAGGCAGATTGTTGTAAAGAGCTTTGAGCATCTTGATCAGATAGAAAGGTGATATATACAGGGTTTTTTATTCGTCTTCTTTCGGCTGCTCCCTACGTTAGGGGCCGCCACAGCAAACTAAGTCGCACGAATACTTGGCAGTTATTTTTACGCCGGATGTTCTTCCTGACACAACCACAGACACCGAGCTACCTCAGCCTGTGTGTGGAGCAGATGGTGGGGGTTAAAGGCCTTGCTCAAGGAGCCAGGGTGGGACGAATGAGGGTGGGGGCAGGTGTGGGTGCTTCACCTACCCCACCCACATTTTTGATCTTGTTGGTACCGGGGCTTGAACCGCCGATCTTCCGATCACAAGCCCGCGTTCTCTAACCTCTGCACCACCACTCCCATACGAAAGGTGCTACTGTATATAAGTACAGTCCATTTACCATTTAAAATAAAAATGCTAAAGCAGCAAACTGTGTGAAAACCAAAACTTGTCATTCTCCTATCGTTCTGCTACAGGTGTAAAGTAAACCCAGTCCAGTTTCTGGATCCATGAACTAAAGGACATTTACTGGGTTTCCATTGAAGAGTACAAACCTTCAGTCCAACAGTTTGTTTTCCCAGATTAATGTTTCACCACTGTTCACATTTAATTTAGTTTTAAATAATTTTCTCAGGGTGAAAACAGGTTTTATTTTGAGCCGGTGTTTCCTTAGTAAATATCACATTGTAGATTTGTTGTCATGTGCATGTTTTTACCTTCAACCAGGTCTTTTAGGTACAGCTAACTAATCTTGTTTTGAGTAATTATAGTCTGCTGACAGGTAATAGTAGATGATGAGTCTGTCAGCAGGGCAGCACGGTGGCGCAACTGGTAGAGCTGCTGCCTCTCAGCGAGCAGGTCCCTGGTTCAAACCCCGGTCCAGGGGCCTTCTGGGTGGAGTTTGCATGTTCTCTCCGTGCAGGTGTGGGTTTTCTCCGGGTTCTCCGGTTTCCTCCCACAGACCAAAAACATGCATGTTAGGCTGATTGGTAACTCTAAATTGTCCCTAGGTGTGAGTGTTTGTTTGTCTCGTTTGTCTCTATGTGTCCCTGTGATGGACTTGCGACCCGTCCAGGGTGTCCCCCGCCCCTCGCACAGTGATTGCTGGACATGGGGACCAGCGACCCGCGTGACCCAAAATGGAATAAGCGGGTAAAGATAATGGATGGATGGAGTCTGTCAGCAAGATATGTGATTCAATTCAATACAAATTCAAAAATACTTTATTAATCCCAGAGGGAAATTATAAGTGTTGTCGTAGCTCATCATTCTGTTTTCATTCAAGAGTTGTTAGATGCTGATTGCTGTGGGCAGGAAGGGTCTCCTGCAGCGAATCCGAAGAATCTGGCCACACATACCGATCCGTCCACCTGGATCCAGCTTGCCATCAGATCTGGCAGGCCTCTCGGTCCTCCTGAGCAGCAGGACTGCCCAAATGCCGGGCAGAATTCCTCCCTGAGCAATGGTCACTCTTCCCAGCAGTCTGCTGAGCTCCTCGTCACCATGGACAGACAGCTGAAGGTGCTGGAGGATGATCCCGGTCCTCCCATTGGCACGAGCTGAGTTTCCCACCAGCTCCAGGATCTTGGCGGTCAGGTACTTGAGCACTGCTGCCAGGTTGATGGGAAATGGTCCACAGTGCCTCCTTTTCAACTCATTTGGGATTTGGGGCTGTAGTTGAGGTATTTGAGCTTTTGAGATGTTAATCAGCTTCTCCTGGTTGTTAAAAACCACATTGTTGCCATGGTTACACATCATAACAAATGCCCAAAAGTAAAAAAGTTTCAGTAAAAATCCTTCCAGCTGCACAGCATCTGATACCAGAGGAAACAATCATTTGAAAATTGTCTTCCTGTCCTCTCAAACAGCCGGTCAAAGCAGATGGTCTCTTGTCCTGAGCCTGGTTCTGCTGGAGGTTTCTTCCTGTTAAAGGGAGTTTTTCTTTCCACTGTGCTTGCTCAGGATGGGAGACTGCAACAAAGCCAAGATTCAACTTGTCTGCTGGATTCCTTAGAGAACTTTACTAATTGGCTTTTATGTGAATGTTCCTGTAAAGTCCCTGAGACAACTTTGTTGTGATTTGGTGCTTTATAAATAAACTGAATTGAAAAAAAGTGATTTACATGTGGGCGGCTGTGGCTGAGTGGTTAGAGCAATCGTCCTCCAATGCAAGAGTTGGTGGTTCAAATCCACCAGCAGTCACATGCCGAAGTGTCCCTGGGCAAGACACTGAACCCCTCATAGCCTCTGATGTGTGTCCCATCAGTGTATGAATGTGATAAATCACTGATTAGTCTCTTTAGAATGATTTGTTCAATCATCTTTGTAGAGATCTAGTATAGAGCTGTATGACTGGGTAAATGAGACACAGATTGTTGTAAAGAGCTTTGATTATCTCAATGAGATAGAAAGACGCTGTATAAGTGCAGTCCATTTACCATTTACATCCAAAAAAAAAAGAGTAATTGAAAGATTTCAAAAGCAATAACTCAGAACGAATGTAACAGAGCTACTCCAACATGCAGCCACCCCAAGCAGCGCAATTCTATAACATGATGAGCTCATTTTAACATATTTTCAAGCTCATCACAGCTCATTATCGTTTGGAGTCGATCCAATCTAAGATGGCCGTCTGAGTTAACAGACTTAAGCTAACAGAAAAAGGTTTGTTTACAGAGACCTAATATTTGACGTGGTAGTAGCTGAGAGTTATTCACAACAAATACTGAGTGCATTGTTTTTAATGTTTAACTAAAACATTTACAACTTTAAAAGCTGGACAGATCTTAGTTTAAACGTCTGGCTAAAATGAAACAGAATTTATTTAGAATCAATCTGACCCCAAATCAGCTCACACACTGAAAAAGACCCAAAGCTGAAAAAGTAAAAAACTATCTTTTAATTCAGGTTGTATTACATGTCTCCATAATATGGCAGTGAATGTTTCAGCAAGTCACTCAAACAGGAAACTTCTTTACATTAGAAAATAAATGAGAAAATCAGGGTTCAAGTAATGCCCAAACAAAATATACACATTTGAAACATAGACATATGAACATATTCTAGTTTAGAGCAGAGCTGCGGTGTTTGAGATCGTTCTTGATTCAGTCTCTTTTTGTTACTGACGGACAAACGTCACGAAGTGACAGCTGACATGGTAAACACTAACACAGACAACACGCAGCCTGGTGAGTTATTGGACGTGAATGAAAAATACAAATAAAAAGACACTGGTAACTAATCTGAAACAGTATAAAAATAAGTTTCAAGTTTCTGATCAGTCAAATATGTATGTGGGATTAAAGGATATCTTATTTTAGTTGTTTATGACAACCTATGGCTTCAGTTTATCTTTCCACATGACCATGTACAATCTAACAGTTCTTTAACAGTTGGTTATAGTCTGTAATGATAAAAGTGTCAACAACTGGAGCTGGGAGGCTCCATGTTGCTATTGCTATGGTAACCAAGAGGACTTTCAGGTGCATCTACCAATAAATCTTACACCTCACCACTGATATTAAAAGGTAATCTCACACACACTCTAACCTTGGAGCCTCTGACATGAACTCATCAGTCACGTGTACAAACAGCTGACAGTGCTCAGACTGAAGGGATAACTATCAGAAAAGGCAGATTAATCATCCGTTCACAATCAAAATGTGATCATGTTTAGAATTAGTAACAACTGTCCCAACAGAAATGCCTTTCTTCAAAAGGAAGCAACACTCAAACTGGAAAATTGCTGCAACTTTGATAGCACAAGGCTGAAGATGCATTTTGCAGCGAATGTGATGTGCATACAAGCATACACATACTTGAACAACCTGTTATGGGTTTCTATTGCCTTTTACTGGATGTCTGTCATCTAGGAACATGAAAAGCACCGCTCTAGTACAGATCATCCTTGAAATGAAGGAACTACAGACTGACAGCACAACACACCAGCACACAGGCACAATACAGGAGGCTTTGGCACACCCATGCTAGTCTTACTACTTAGCATTTTCGACAAGACCCATAGCTGCCGTACGTTGCCTCCACTGTGAGGGAAGGGGTGCAGGTTGTCCACAGACCTAGTGATCAGCGGTCACGTTCAAACCACTCAACCAATCAGCAGCTCCAGGCTGTCTTCAAAGTTGGGATCCTGTGGGGGGCTGGGGGACAGGAAGGCTGTGGTCACAGGAGTCCCTGTGGCTGTGGCGACATTAAGAAGAGTGTTAGCACGGATGCTGCTGGTTGCTGGATTGCGGAGTGCTGCGGCTGCCGTGATGCTGGTCAAGTTGATGCCGAGAGTGAGTCGTGTCTGCTCCAAGGCCTTCTCTGGCACAGCAAAAGCCTCGAGCTTCTTCTCACCGTTTGCCATGTAGGAGTTCTGGCAACCTCGACAGATGCAATCTAAGCACGCCTGAGAAGGATGTGAGAAGACAACATTACCCTGCAAGAACTTAGCATTTGTCTACGTTTCACCCCAATGTTGAAAAACATGCCAAATAGTTTCAGTTTCATAAAATACTTCAGAATACTGACTTATAGACTTTAGTAATATTTGATGGCAAATGTGATCTAGCATCAAACACATTTTCATCTTGCAGCCTCGGGTTCCAGGAAATGAAACCAGACTGAGTACTACACTATACTGATATGTCAAAATTGTGAGTCTGAGCAAAATAAGCAGGAACTGGTTGATTTTTTTTTTTTTTAAAGACATGGTTGCATTCAGAACATCGCACCTTCTATAAGGACTGAACAAAGAGAAACAACAATGCTGTGAAACAGTTTTCAAATAAAAAAGTATCTTTGCAACATGTATCCTGAGCAGCATGCTGTGACAGTCTGCATTCAAACTATTGTTTCTGGGAGTGTAAGTACTTCAGCACACTTTGTGTTTGTTTAGTAGCTGAAAAACATTCAGCTCATTTAGGAGAAAGGTAATATGAGTTTTGGTTTTTGTAACTTTATTATTATTCAAAGTATTTAACATTTTACACAAATATTTTGCCTATAGAAATACATTAAGAGCCCTTCAGTTCCTTTACAATTACTTTGAGATCAGCTTCAGCTTGATCGCTTTATTTTTTGTTTTCTCACACCACTTTTAGCTACCATTCAGCTACTTAGTTTTTAGTTACTTTTTTCTACTTTTAGCTAACCATTTGCTGCTTTTAGCTTTCAGCCTGTGTTTTGCTACTTTTACAAACTGGATCCCAAAAAGTTGGGACACTAAACAAATTGTGAATAAAAACTGAATGCAATGATGTGGAGATGGCAAATGTCAATATTTTATTCGTAATATAACATAGATGACAGATCAAAAGTTTAATCTGAGTAAATGTAACATTTTAAAGGAAAAATATGTTGATTCAAAATTTCACAGTGTCAACAAATCCCAAAAAAGTTGGGACAAGTAGCAATAAGTGGCTGGAAAAAGGACATTGAGCATATAACGAACAGCTGGAAGACCAATTAACACTAATTAGGTCAATTGACAACATGATTGGTATAAAAAGAGCTTCTCAGAGTGTCAGTGTCTCTCAGAAGCCAAGATGGTAAGAGGATCACCAATTCCACCATTGTTACGCAGAAAGATAGTGCAGCAATACCAGAATGTTGTTACCCAGCGTAAAATAGCAAAGACTTTTAAGTTATCATCATCAACCGTGCATAACATCATCAAAAGATTCAGAGAATCTGGAACAATCGCTGTGCGTAAGGGTCAAGGCCGTAAAACTCTACTGGATGCTCGTGATCTCCGGGCCCTTAAACGTCACTGCACCTCAAACAGGAATGCCACTGTCAAGGAAATAACAGAATGGGCTCATGAATACTTCCAGAAAGTATTGTCAGTGAACACAATCCACCGTGCCATCCGCCGTTGCCAGCTGAAACTCTACAGTGCAAAGAGGAAGCCATTTCTAAGCAAGCTCCACAAGCTCAGACGTTTGCACCGGGCCAGGGGTCATTTAAACAGGAGTGTGGCAAAATGGAAGACTGTTCTGTGGTCAGATGAGTCACGATTTGAAGTTCTTTATGGAACACTGGGACGCCATGTCATCCGGACCAGAGAAGACAAGGATAGCCCAAGTTGTTATCAACACTCCGTTCAGAAGCCTGCATCACTGATGGTATGGGGTTGCATGAGCGCTTGTGGCATGGGCAGCTTGCATGTCTGGAAAGGCACCATTAATGCAGAGAACTATGTTCAGGTTCTAGAACAACATTTGCTCCCATCTAGACGTCATCTCTTTCAGGGAAGACCCTGCATTTTTCAACACGATAATGCCAGACCACATTCTGCAGCAATCACAACATCATGGCTACGTAGGAGAAGGATCTGGGTACTGAAATGGCCAGCCTGCAGTCCAGATCTTTCACCTATAGAGAACATTTGGTGCATCATAAAGAGGAAGGTGCGACAAAGCAGGCCCAAGACGATTGAACAGTGAGAGGCCTGTATTAGACATGAATGGGAGAGCATTCCTATTTCTAAACTGGAGAAACTGGTCTCCTCTGTCCCCAGACGTCTGTTGAGTGTTGGAAGAAGAAGGGGGGATGACACACAGTGGTAAAAATGGACTTGTCCCAACTTTTTTGGGATTTGTTGACGCCATGAAATTTGGAAACAACAGATTTTTCCCTTAAAATGAAACATTCTCTCAGTTTAAACTTTTGATCTGTGATTTGTGTTCTATTCTGAATAAAATATTAGATGTTGGCACCTCCACATCATTGCATTCAGTTTTTATTCACAATTTGTTTAGTGACCAAACTTTTTTGGAATCCGGTTTGTACCTATGGTTCTGCTTTTTGTAGCATTTCTGCTCTTTTCATCTTTTAGCTCTCCCTTTGTTCCTTTTATAGCGTTAAAGTGTCCTTGAGCAAGACACCCAATCCCTAATAGCTCCCCGGGCACTTACAGCCGCCCGCTGCTCCACCTGATCTCACATGTGATGGGTTAAATGCAGAAAACTTTTTGTCATGTCAAATTTTGTCATACAATTTTGAACATACAATGATAAGATTGCAATAAATAAATAACACCTATCATTTCCCAACATGTTTCTAACTAAATCAAAGAACATTACAATGGTATTATTAACTGTGAATGACATAATAAGATAACAATAGACAGTTAAAGTGGAAAGTTTGTCATGAACAGATGCCTCACCTTGCGGTTTGAGTAACAGGGACAGCGCTGCCCCCTGCAGGTTAAAACTGATGGGTTCTGAGTGGCCCTGCCACATTTACAGCCCTTCTTCTCCGCCGGCTTCTTGTAGGGAGGCCTAACAGGAGGTGCGGGCAGCAGGCAGCCTGACAGCAAGCGCTGCTCTTTGCTTCGGTCCTTGGTCTTTGACCCCCCACTGCTGCGAGCCTTGGCATGGGGCTTTTTAGGGCTTTGCTCCATATGCTTCCTGACGCCTTTACTGTTCTGCACAGGACGACTGGACTTGGGGAGCATGCCATTAGGAAGCGAGGAGTATGTGTGCACCGGCACAGCTATGGAAGGTGTAGGTAGTTTTGTGTGCAGTGTGTGGGGGGAGGTTGGAGTGTGAAAATACGATGAGCCCTGCAAGATGGAGACGATAGGGAGGGGTTTCACTTGTTCCCGATCACTCTCTGACCGGGATCGCTTGCGGTTAAGGCGGATTGTTGGGAGCTTGGAGACTGCTGAAGGCTCTAAGGAAGATGCCTGTGTGTGAGCACCATGACCTGCTACTGTGATAGTCCTGCCAGTTTGAATCTGTGTGTAATTGTGAGCTGCATCCAGCTGCAAGTACATGTGATTATGTGCTCTGTCCGTGGTTGTGTGTGTGCGTATCCTTTCTGGCTGTGAATGGAGAGAATCTCGCCCAGGCTGAAGGGGATCCAATGTCTGCAAGACCTCCTCTACACTGAGGAGCAAAACCTCTCCCTCCTCCAGCTCCCTGTTACAGGATTCTCCATCCCTGAGTGAGCACACAGTGCCTGGTGTCGGAGTTAAAGGTCCAGTGGTCAGACTCAGTTCCAAACCACAAGCTGTATCAGATACAGCTAAGCCTGCATGTTGCTGTTCCTCAACTAGTTCACATACTTCCAGCTCAGGAGAAGAGGGATCAAGATCCTCCAGTGCTTCTCCGTTGCATTCCTGGGGTCCATTGAAACACGGAGGCTCTGAGGAAGAGTTCTGGGGAATGGCTGAGAGCTTGGTGGGAACAGGTGGTGCCTCTGTGGGAGTAAGAGACTCTGGAGCAGACAGATTCACATCTTCTTGGAGCCAGATTAAGTCATCAGTCTCTGTCTCCTCTACATGTGACATTAACACCTCCTCGAGCAAAGTCATAACCTCTGGAGACCCACCAGCATGGCTGCTGATTGACTGCAGCAGTGGAGACTGAGTTACATACAGGCAGAGGTTTTGATAGCACTGCACCAGTAGGGAAAGCTGTTTGTTCTCCTGGAAACAGGAATAGTCCTTACAGCGACTGCATGACAACCGGATCCGCATTTTCTGACCTTTACAGCCCAAGCAAACATAATGCTGACACTCTGGGTGTGTTGGGGAAATGGGATTCTGGAGTAGTTTACCTAAAGTAGAAATAAAAAAGAATGGACTTTTAAAAATGCATAGTGGTTATAATCAGAGCCCGAGTGATATATTGGTAGGGCCATTGTTTTAGGCCGATATAGATGTTTGGGGACCTATTGGTATTGGTGATAATTGTCCCATTATGTGCTAATATAAACACTTCTAATTTTCACCCCTAAAATGCTGAAACCATGCAATGTATCCAGCCGGGGCGCATGAAGACTACTTTCAAGTCATGGCCGTTCACTTAAGTTTCACTTTTCATTTTCAGCACAGCCGAAGCAGAGAACAATACAGTGTGGTGTATTTAGCTGAACAGAGCATTGTACGTTTATTTTAACTGATCTATAAAATAAATCAACAATAAATTCTCTTCAATCCTCCAACCTGATTGTGATAAACTTAAATGTCTCTCAAGTTAACAAACCAACGTTTAGAGAACCTAGCATAGGCTATTGCCTTGCAAAACCTTATCCAGAACAATAAATCTAACGTAGCGGTAAAATATCAGTGTTAGTAATATCCTGATGCATGCTCAATAATCCAGGTAGAAAAATCTAAAAAAGTTAAATCTGGTCCTCTGGACCAGTGTTAGTAATGTTATCTTTGTCGTCCTCAATGAAATGTTTGTCTGAAATCTTTACTTCTCTGCAAAGAACAAAAATACCGACAGTCATCTTACTTAACTTTTCTCTTTTTTTCATATTTAGTAGAGCTGACCAATATGGAAAAGTTGGCTATCGCTGATACCAATACTGGGAAGGCAGGCGACCGCTGATAACTGATATAATGGCTAAAAATTTTTGAGCTTTGTCCACCGCCAAGAATCTAAGAAAACAGTGAGTGGGGCGGCGCTTGTTTATTTAGTGCAGCTGTTAGCAACCATGAAGCTAAGCTAACCAGATCCACACTTTAATTAGTCCCACAGTAGTTTACAGGTGGTGCACTGCTCATAAAAACAAGTCTTCCTAACGTGCGTTCACATTTTCTATCCTCCACTATTCACCATAAAGTTATCACGTGTGTTATAAAATATAAATTAAACAAAGAAACACCCTTCATGCATCTTCATGCGCCCTCTGCTGGATACATTGTAAAATTACAGTTGGTTCCAACATCTTTGGGGTGAAAATTAGAAGTGCTTATACCGGTGCATAATGGGACAATCATCACAGATGCCGACAAGTTCCCAAAAGTCTATATCGGCCTAAATTATCGACCCTACTGATATATCAGTTCGGCTCTAATATTTAGCAGCAGGTTCACTCTAATATCTCAACCTAAATGTCTTTACAGGGATTCTACACTTGTCTGATGCCTCAAGGGTGCACCAATCACAGATTTCTAAAAAGTCTGACCTGCCAATTCAGATTTTGGCCGATACCAATTTAGTTTTATAAGCGACACTGTCAAGTGTTATAAGGTCACAATGCACCTTCAATTTTCCAATCTTATTTTATTGAAAAACTTACCCTTGAACAATATCATAGAAACAATACAAACTTGTTTTAACAGGCCATGGGGTAGTGCTCTGAAATATAAATAAAGTTTAGACAATTGTTGTTAAAAACACCCCAAAAAAAAAAATCTGTAAAATCGGTTTCTCATGCAAGTATCGGCCAATCACTGATCTCCCAAAATTAAGGAAATCTGGGCCGATAAATCAACGGTGCACCCCTAATTTCACTATATTTGTTTACCTACACAGACTTCGGCCAGCGTAATATAGGTCAATCATGCAACTCAAGTGTACACAAGGTTTTCAGCAAATTTAGCCAGATGCTCTATTTCACGTGTCAAACTCAAGGCCCGGGGGCCAAATGTGGCCTTCGGTGACATCTTATCTGGCCCCCAAGATGTTTTTTTTAAAGTAAAATACTTTTATCACTTTATTTTTTTCAGTAATCTTTGATGATCATGTCAAAAGCGCAACAGAGGACATCAAATGAGACCAATCAAACTCTTGTTGAGGAACCTGCAACCAAGAAGAGATGTTGGTATCTAACTTGAGTAAATGTAGATTCTGAAACCGGCCCTTAGTTTGAAAAAGGTTTGAATTTTGGCCTCTTTTGTAAGCGAGTTTGACACCCCTGCTCTATTTACATGAAGTGTAGACCCATGTTTCAGAATAGCATATCAATATATCTGTGAAAATACTAAAGTAAACATTTTCAAATTGCATCATTTGAAATAGTCCAGGTTTTTATGTTTGATTTTATACTTTGTGACGAGTAGTTTTATTTGTCCTTTTCCTTAAAAGTCTGCTTTAGACTGCTGCTTAATACACCGTGTTATTTACATTATTAGTGTGTAGTGTATATCTTAGATCTTTTAGCGTTTGTTCAGCATATATCTTAGTATATATCTTACATTCTTATATACTGTTTCTTTTTATACTTTTTTTGTTGTTGCTATTTTTGGGAGTAACTGGGACCCTGAGTACACAATTTTGTTCCACCTCATGAACCACATGTGATGAGAATGACAATAACGAACCTTGAACTTGAATTGTTCCTCCATTGTAATTTATTAGCATAGGCAAAAACTACTTACTAGTTTTACCACCAACTTTAATTAGTAAAATGGTAATTAGTTGCATCACTAAATCGTCAAAACAGATCCCAGACAGTTCCATAAAAAGCGCTCACAAACGGTCCCAAATGTATATTTGAACAGTTTGTCCTCTAATGTAAGCTGTGTCAGCATGAGCAGGACCGAGTAAATAAAGCATGAATAGGAAGCACATGTTCCGCAGAGAACAACAGAAGACTCATCTGTCTGGTCCAGAGGACAGCCTCGGTTGCCTAGGAGACCACAGATGTAAACGTAGCTCCAGTCACGCACGTCCACACAAGTTTTACTCAAACTGAATAATAGACGTGCGATTAAAAGACTCAAAACATACGCATTTAAAATACAGCCAGTAGGCTACACAAAACACTGAGTGTGTGCTATTTTATATAATGTCAGAATGCTTACCGCAGACACGACAAGCGAGGGACTGTCGGAAGGAAGGTAGCTGCTTGTACATTTCTGCAAAAGTGTGAGGCTGCCGGGGGTCGCAGCGCAGCACTGCTCGGCTGGCAGACACATACAGAGCGGTGGCATTCACGGGATTCATAGCGGTTTATCTTCCAGCTTCAAGAAAGACCGTCCGAGAGGCTAAATCCCGCAGCAAGCAACGCACTCAGCAAGTCAACTTTCCGTAAAATGACGGAAATAAAAGCAGCTTGGTGATACAAAAAATACTGTAGTATGTCAACGCACAATGACATATAATAAATTAACACAATGCAAGATAACGATTACAAGGAAGCAGTGCCAATTGTAACGCGCACACCGTTAGCTAGCTCGACAGGGGCTAACTCGTTAGCATCCCCGGTTTGAGTGGACGTAGCCTTTTCTAGAGCCCTTTCGAAATCCAATTTCTAAGTCTACCAGTAACAAACTATGTGACACAACGCACATGGCTGACGCAACATATGGGCTACAAAATGAACTGAGCGAGCCATGGGGATCAAAATGTTAGCATCACGAAGCTAAAATTAGCTTAACAATTAACCAAATGCTTTTTAAGAGAAATAGCCGATTAAGCCATAGAGGAAATCAACAATTAAACACCTTTTCCGTATTGGTGCTCAGTTGGAGGCAGAGATGCTGCGAGCGTCACAAATTTGCTTGGTTGGAAATTACCTAACAGGCGCGCACTTGATGTAAACAAAGCTAACGAGCTAGCGTTAGCATTTCTAGCTAACTTAGCTATCGCGGAATTAACCGTATCCCTACCCCGCTCGGGCCGTCTTATGTCTCAGCTAGAGGTGCAAAATGCAAACCGCAAACCAAAACCCTTTTATTTCCGCGCGTTTTACTACAATGCTTAGCAAGCAGTGGCCAAAACATTGCTAACTTGCCGTTTAACATGTGCATCAATCATTGGGTTTTCCACTTTTCCTCACAACAATCTCTCGATAGGAATAATAGTCACGCGAGATTTCGTCTGGTTGCCGTGGTTACTACGACTTCTTCTTCTGCGTTTTTATTGGCAGATCGCAAACTGCTTAAATGCGCATACTGCCACCTACTGGACAGGAGTGCGTAAACTCCACGACCATTACCTCATAAATTCTAATTTAGTTTTTTTGTTTTGTTTTGACCAGCGACCCCCGTGACCCAAAATGGAATAAACGAGTAAAGAAAATGGATGGATGGATGGATGGATGGATGGATGGATGGATGTTTTGTTTTGTGAAGTTGCTTTTGGCTTCTTCCGCTTCAGAGGTTACCACATCGAGCGAACTCGCATGAAAGATTTGGCAGTTGTTTTTTGCCAGATGTTCTTCCTGAGACAACTTGGCCTCGAACATGCAACCTGAGGATTACAATACAATGTGGTGGTCAATGACATAACATTACTGTCTGCAGCCCTAGTTTTGTATTATGCAGATATGTGAATAATTATTTTCTAAGAATATGGGTTTCTTCTTTGTTCACTTCTATTAAATTCCCTTCTCTCCCTGCCTCTCTTACAATTTCCCTCAGTCTGTTTTTCAGCCTTCATACACTACTCCACAACCCTCACATTTTATGTTGGTCCTTCTCGTTAGTACAGCAAGTCATTTACAAAGGTATGACCTACCCTTTATTTCATCATTATCACATTTGCTCTTTGGTTTCTTTCGCCATTACTGATTTCAGCATTTTTGTATAAATTTATCCCTGTTTAGTCTTTATTCCACCTTCTACGCCACAGCCACAGAATCAGAAAGCACAGACCCAGCTGCTGAATGAACAGGTGAGACAGACCAATTTTACTATCGAGGCCTTGAAGGCCAAAGAAAATCACATTAAACAGAAACTAACAACGTGCCTAGATCAGACCACACTTCAGCAAGTGTTGGACTGTACAGATCAGGCACGCTTAGCGCAGCATGTCAAGTCCAAGACTCAACAACAAAACAAGTTTAACTTACTAATAACCCATCAACACCATCACTATTCCAATAACAACACATTCAGTGTAGGACAACACTCCAGTAGTCAATTACATGGGTTGTGTTGATGTGTGCTGAGCCCCCTCCTGTTTACTCTGCTCACGTATGATTGTGCAGCTACCCATCCAGGCTGTCACATTGTAAAGTTTGCAGATGATACAGCGGTGGTGAGATGCATCACAAACAATGATGAGTCCAGCTACAGGCAGGAGGTGGAACACCTGGAGAGCTGGTGCAGAGAGAATAACCTTCACATCAATGTGAAGAAGACAAAGGAGATGATTGTGGACTTCAGAAGGAACAAAAACATCTACACCCCCCTGAACATAAGAGGATCTGCGGTGGAAGTGGTCTCCAGCTACAAGCACTTGGGTGTGCACCTGAACAACAACCTCAGCTGGAGCAACAACACCACCAGCCTGATGAAGAAAGCTCATCAGAGACTCTACTTCCTCAGGCGGCTGAGACGAGCTGGTCTGGAAGCTCAGTCCTCACCTCCTTCTACAGGTGTGCAGTGGAGAGCATCCTGTGCTCCAGCATCAACGTGTGGCATGGAGGCTGCACAGCTGCAGAAAGAAAAGCTTTGCAGAGAGTGCTGAAGGCTGCACAGAAGATGTTGGAATCAGTCTCCCCACCATCACAGACATCTACACCTCCAGCTGAAGGAAGAGGGCCACCTGCATCATGAAGGACCACACTGACCCAGCACACACACATTTTGCCCCACTCCCCTCAGGAAAGAGGTTAAGGAGCATTAAGTGTAGAACCACTAGACTGAGGAACAGCTTCTACCCTGAGGCTGTTAGACTCATGAATCTCTAACTAGAATAATCACTGTGAAAAACCACATCATGTTGCTGCTGATCTGTTTCATGTTGCTGCTGATCTGTTTCAATGTTGATGTGTTCATGCGTGCACATCTGCTCACAGACTCATGTTCATGTTTGTGCTGATGTTCAACGTTTTTATGTTATGAGTGCTTAGTGTATATTTAGTTGATGTTTTTCTTAGTTCATATCTTAGATGTTATTACTGTTTTTCTTATACATTTTATTGTTGGATGTAACTGGGACGCTGTGTACATAATTTTGCTCCACCACATGTACCACATGAGGTGCGAATGACAATAAAGGATCTCTGACTCTGACTCTGACTCTGACATGCCAGGGAGACAGAAAAGTGGGTGAAGAATTTATCTGACAGACAGCTCACCCAGCCGGAGACAGAGACTCTTGCCAAGGGACTGAACTTTGCGGTTGCACCAAGTAGAATTCCTCTGGTGGAGATGATCACAGCCACAGAATCAGCCATCCGCAACAACAAAATGAAAGAGGGTGAAGCAGAACAGCTCAGAATCAAAGTTTCATCCTGCCTCAGCAATGCCAAACCACCACCTTCCAACATCAGTAGAGAGGAGAGGGATGCACTCACCACTCTTAGCAAGGACAAAAACATCATCATTCTCCCAGCAGACAAAGGAAGGTGCACAGTGATTTTGAACCAGAAAGACTATCATGAGAAAGTTATGACACTCCTTAGTGACTTAACCACTTATGAACCTCTGAAAAGAGATCCAGGAAGTGGTTACAAGAAGAAGTTAATAGATTGCCTGAAAATGTTGGAGCAGGACAAGGCTATTGACCGTTTTCTGTACCACAGACTGTACCCAGGGGAGGCCACACCTAGTCTGTATGGTTTACCTAAAATCCACAAACAAGGTGTACCTTTAAGACCTATTGTTAGCATGATTAACTCTGTCACTTACAATGTTTCCAAATATCTGGCGTCTGTACTCATCCCTTTAGTTGGCAGCTCAGAACACCACATACAGAACACCATGGACTTTGTGGATAAGGTGAGGGATGTCATCATGGAGACTGATGAAACAATGGTCTCTTTTGATGTCACATCACTCTTTACGTGCATTCCTGTTGATGATGCAGTAGAGGTGGTCAGTTTAAAATTAAAATCAGACACCACTCTGAGCAGCAGGACCACGCTTTCCACAGAACAACTGTGTCAACTCTTGAAACTGTGCCTGCAGTCAACCTACTTCACATATGGGGAGCAATATTATAGGCAGAAACATGGGTGTGCTATGGGGTCTCCAGTTTCTCCTATTGTTGCCAACCTGTACATGGAGGAGGTAGAAAAGAGAGCCTTGACGTCCTTTTCAGGGACACCACCAAGTCATTGGTTCAGGTATGTTGACGACA